TTGTTGAGATAAATTCACCAGGAACATGAGTAGCTTTCCTAATGACCCCTTTAGTTAAAAGCTTGTTAATTTCAGTAGTAGCAATATCTGTCTCTTTACAAGAAAGTTTGACAGCTCTAGGGGTGAGCGCCTGGCAAGGAGGGTTGCAAAACTCTAGTTGGTAACCCTTAACGATGCGTAAAATGTAGGGGTCAGACGTGAGCGTCTGCCAAGCACTGAAATGCTTAGCTATGTTTCCAGCAATATATACATTGGTACAAAGAGGCGAACATATACTTACTGTGCTAGTAGCTGGCAGCAAGTGTTCTATTGGCTTGTCCGGGTTGTCTTGTCCCGGTTGGCATTGTTCTTGGATTTCCAAGGTTTGAAGTTGTTGCCTCTCCAGTTTTTTGACTGCTTATAGCCATTATAGCTGTTATTGCCAGGTCTTCCTGGAGAAGGGCGATGCCCTTTATAATTAGGGGTGATCTTGGCCCCAATTTTGTTTTGATCGCCAATATCTTTCAAATGCTTTTGTAGATCATCTCCAAAGAGAAAATCTGTAAATGGCAACTGGGAGGAGCAGAGAGCTGAGTATTCCCTCCCAATATCTGGTCTCAGTAGAAGACGGCGCTGCATGTTTATTTCATAAGAGGCATGAGTGAGGAGGGACATGGCCTCCAGCCCCTGTTTCTTTAGGTCTTGGCATTCATCAGCATTAAGCGATTTTGCCTGCATAAGCTTGTCCGTGATTCGGACAACTGGCAGGATGCCTTTTGTGAGGGCTTGTTGTATTTTGAAAAATTGTAAATCCCTCTTCTTAGTTGGCTCTCTCAGTCGACGCCAAATGCCCGGGTTTACCTTGGGAGGCTTGGCTGTAGTACAATTAGCCGGTCTCTCCTGCCTCTCAAGCCGGTCTTTGAGATTTTTCTCGCTTAGTTTGCAGCGGAACATTTTGTCAACTAGCTTGGCTAGTTTCTCATTTTCGAGACTTTCGCCCACGATATCGTCAGACTCGTATTCTTTTACGAGTTCCGAGAGGAAATCATCCTCATCACCACTACGAGTGGTGTTTTGCTCTGACTCATCACTGTTGTTGTTTAACACAGAGTCATAGAGTTTCTCGCAGTCAGTTGACTGGTCGGAGGCGCTCGTGGAGCTTCTCGCCTCGCCATCTTTGTTTTTTGCTTTTTTGGCGGGAACAGCGTTTGGAGATTTGCTCGCCGGCCGTTTTCCTTTGTCTTTTGTCTCTCCCCGCGGCGAATTGATGAGTTCTGGCAGGCTTTTCGTCAGGCCTAGAATTGCGTGGGTGAGTTGGCTAATTTCTTCCGAGGAAGCGGCTGTTTTGTCCTTGAGTTGTCGTGAAGCGTGTGCAGGCACCGCGTTGCGTTCGTCGGGTAGCGAATCCTTGTTTATCTGGTCTTCTTCGCCCTCGTCCTCAATTTCGTCGGCGAGGAGATCGTCCTCAGATTGTTTTGACATCGCTAATATCTTCGGCTTGAGGCTCTGAACGAGAAATGGATGAAATTTCTGAAAATTTTGTGGGAGCGACTAGTGCTCCAAGCGACCTTGCCCGAAATCAAACTCGCACTGAGCTCGAAGTCACGTGACTTGCTATCTCATGTGATCTCAGAATGTATGCAAATGCGAGGTAGAATCTTTTAATGAATTCATTTGGAATAATAGAGAATTGTATGGGTAGAAGTGCATATTTCATTTTGATATCAGCAACGATTTCGACTAATAGATTCAATTCTCAAATAATCAGTTCAACAGTACAAAAAAAACGTAGCATCTTAAAAGGCATATTTGACTGTAACAGCTGTGTATATTGCATTGGCAGAGGCAAGTATTTGGCAAGCTTTGGTAATTTTTCAACCTATACTAGTAGTTTGAGTATCAGGCGTTTCTGGGGGAAAGGAGGGAAGAGAGAAGCAAAAAACCTCCTCTCCCTAGTCCGTTAGGAAGGCCTGATACTCAGGCCACCTATACTAGTGGCTATAATTATTTGAATATGCAAGTAGTAATATTACTCTGGGCAGATTTTTTAAACTTATATTACAATAAATATAGACTCTTCTTAGCTACTAGAAGGACTTATTTTGTTGGTGGTGTGGGATGTGAAGTTGAAGTGGGGAGAGACGGTAATGCATCAGACTTGCAATTTATTATGGAGGTTCCAGTTTTGAGTCCCACCTTAAACGCTAGAAATACTTGTAAATAGCCAACTGGTTGCCTTGTGCCAGATGTCGTGTGTCAGATTATTTGTTTGTGATAACTCAATTGGAGCTGCTTTAAACAAACTAGCGAGGGCAGCTAGCTGCGTTTCCAGTAAAAACATGTGGTTTTACATGTTATAGAGGTAGAAAGGATTAGGAATGTGAAAATAGTGGAAGATAAGAGTAAAATCG